CACACACACACACACACACACACACACACACACACACTGTGTTTCTGGTTGTCATCTTGTCAACATTAGGGTTTTCATTGACCTTTGATTCTCCTCCTGCTCACTGGCAGCCAACCAATCACACAATGAGTTTGGGGGCAACTTCAGAGATAGTCCTATGTTCAGAGGATGAACCACTCCATGGTGAAAATATGCTGATTTATCCATTTGTGTGGTGTGTATCTTGTAATTCACCCTCAGTATGTTCATTTAATTTGACAAAGCAGCACTGCTATACATTTTGAATCTGGATAAACATTACATTACAGTATACTGTTATACAGTATAATAGTGAACATACAGTTTCTATAGTGTAGTGATCTGGGGACAGTTTTAGGTTGTAATTTCAAACTTCTTCTTTTCAAATCAGTTTCTTATTAGAATGCATCGAGATCAAATGATGGACATTGTGTGGGATTTTATTTTCTAGAACGCAGGTTGAAACAGACAGCTACTACAAATATAGCTCTGGCCATGGCAACCACAGCATCAGGAATCAGTAATGTTTTGTTCTTTCAGGGCACATGATTGGAAACTAAAGCAAAAGAAAAGACAGTTTCTACCATCTATAAATGGACTGTGTATAGTTTTACAGAAGTTAGTGACTTTAGCGTGTCAAACTTAATACCCACCACAAATTCTGAAAGCCCAGGATGAGTTTTGAGAACCTTTTAGATGGCATTTTTTTGTAACTATTTTTGACATTTATTCATTAACTAGAGCAGGGCTAAGGCCAAACAATCACAATATTTTAAAAGATTTAAAAAATATATTCTGAGAAATTGTAAAAAATATAGTAATATGCTCTCTCTTGCAATGTTAATTAAGTCATAAAAAAATCCTGCCACCCCTTTAACCCATAAACCGTATATAAAGATGGATAATGCATCTCCGATTCCTCATATTAACCAGAAAGGAAGCCAAAATGTCCGTGATGTAAACGCTGCTATTGTGCATTTGGAGCCAGATTTTGTGCAGTGGCAATTGGGTGATGGAGCCACAGTGACGAGGTCCCGTTGATATGCTTGAGAAATCCTTACTCAGTGTCAATCATGATGTTTCACCCTTTTTCTTGAGGGTTTAAGGAAACCAGCCACCAGGTGGCGATCAAGATATTTTGGCTTCACCTTTGGGAAGCAGTCATGTTGACAGTCTTTACACAATGTCGATGCCTTAACTTGATCGCCACCAAAATGTAAGATGTTCTTTCTCGACTGATGTTACGACCTTCCAACTAGTTTAGTGCAGATTTATTCAGTGCTGCTAATAAATACATAATCCTGCTAATAAATACTCAACAAACAAACGGAAATTGGTGACAACATAACCTCCTTGGTGGAGATGATAATGAAACTAATCATTAGTTGCATCTTAAATTGACACTCCTGCTATTTCCACAAAGAGTGCAGTCTAGTCTATGTACAGTTCCCAGAAATAGAGTGAGAGCAAGAGCTCTCTTATTGCATCAACCACCTGTCATGCATCATCTGTACAGGAGCACAGTGGGAAATGTAGCTGATCATGCTAATTTGTATTTTGTGGCACCCTGAGGGATGTCAGGAGAAAATTGAGAGGAGAGGAAAGAAATGTAAAAATAGAGACAAGTCCTGATTCTCATCAATCTCCTCCGGTGGCGGAAAAAAATAAGCATCTCATTAGCGTACACTCGTAAATATGGCGACGTGCTGAGAACAGAGGCTTGAGTACAATTCACTACTCAAGTGCCCAAGAGGGCTGTGTGTGTTTGTTCAGGTTTGCATCACAACAGTAGTACAGAGACAGAGTTGTTACTCCTCCCCCTGACATTGTACTTAATGTACTATTATGTAATGCATGCTAAAACATTGTGTGTATGACTGTGTGTGTGTTACTAGTTCACCACCACTTTAAGACACTGCAGATGTGGGAAGAAATTAGATAACGCGTCTTTTCTCTGACAATCCTGGGTGAATAGTTTCAAGCACACTCCTAGGCTGCGGTTGGAAAGTCAAAAAAATCTCTCTAATCACTAAAAACCTTGACCCAGATGAAAAACGTCATGAGGTCAAGGAGAGATGTGAGGGAAGTGTGAAGGGACTCTGTGCTGTGTGTCTATAATTCAAGAAAGTTTCAGCCTATACAGAGAGAACATTTAACAACTAGTTACAGGAAGTTATTTCAAAATAGATTTTATGTAGTGTCACTTTCTCCTTTCCTTTCCTTTCATAAAGTTCCAGTGTTCCCTTGAATCCTGAAGGAGCTAAAATAGGATGCATTGAAGCTCCTTTCCTTATCATTTAGAAAATTCAAACAGCTCTTAGTATGGTGGCTGTGTGTACATTGACCTGGGATGTCTCAGAGAGAAGGTCACTTCAATCTGACTTGTTTAAATCATGTTAGGAGTTTTGCTCTTGTACTTGGGCTGCAGATGAAAAAAAAGTGGGCATCAGTGAGATGCAGGACGAACAGAACAAAAAGAAAGGAGACACTTGGGTAATATGACTTGTCTGGGTCATCAGTCACGCAAAGCAGACCTCTGCTGTGTCTGAAGGACAAAATCTGGGCCCATTCCGTCCACCTGTGTGAGTGTCTCGCTCAGTGTCAGGTAGTGTGTGTGTATGAGTGTGTTTGTGTGTGTTTTGAAGCTGAGGTGTGAGTCTAAGCACTTTAGGGAATTGTGTGTCTATATTTAGGAGTTTTTTGAGCAGGTTATTGAATATCTCCTGACAGCCATCCATTCACCTCTGACAGAATATTAACAACACAACATGGGGCAACTTTCACACAATCACACCCCTGAGATGCAGACTGACATTTAAAGGGTAATGGTTTATAGCTAAGGTTAGTGTGTGTGTGTTTTATTTTCGCTTGAATTCTCATGCTATTTATCCATTTATAATTCCACGATACAAATTTATAAACACATGAGTTCTTAAATGCCAGTGCTTTTTTTCCCAAGAAGGAACTACAGTTATTTGAAATCCACTGCTGAGTGAACGTTAAAGCGTTTATGAAGCAGCTGAAGGTTCAGCCACAATGTGTGATTCATCAGTGAATACGTGCAAGTACGAGTGGACATTTATTAATAGGAAAATGTCATAGATTGGTAGTCTAAGAGAAGGCAAACACAGTTGAAGTGGGTAACTGTATTTGTATTAATTTTTCTCAGCTGACAGCTTGTTGGCCTCCTCCAATAGTGCCATTTAAAAAATCCCCTGACTGCGGTTTGTACAGGAGGTGGAGGGAAATTTTGAAAGCTGAGATTTCTCGATATCTGAAATGAGAACTGTCAGTTGACTATGGACAGAATTTACAAAGTTATACTAAAATGTATTCATTAGAATAATTGGGGTGTGTACATTGATTTCAATTTTTTACATCTGTGGTTGCCAGAAGTCGTATCGCGTGTTAGAAGCGTCATCCACTCACTCATTGTTTCTGGAGGCTCTCACTCGGACATTTGCATTCACACATACAGCCCCTCTGGAGAATGAAAGCTCTATAGACTGTGGTGCTCTCCTTTCATTTTGGCCTCATGTGAAATGTCTTGTCATTTAGTAGATGTATGGTGAGGGAATGTTGCACAGACATTCATGGACCATGTTAGATGAATTGGAATGTCTCAGATGACCCCCTGATTTTTCAATTGTCCAATGCTGGTGTTGCATCCTGGCAAGGACTCGATGGGAATAAGAGGAGGGTAAAATGGGTGAAATTAAACCTATGACCGAGGAGGAAGAGCGGGAAGCTTATGAAGTTATTACAAAAATTATTTATATACAATTTAACCAACCTCAAATCAGACAAACCCACACCTGTAACCTCTTCAAAAGGCCAAGATCTATAACTGAAAAAAGGAGTTACTACAAAATAAAAAATAAACTCAATGGAAGGGGAAGGGAGGACAATGGAAACCTACTGTCTCCGCCTTAAGTTTATGATTTATTGTAGTATTCCTTTGTATCTGTTGTACTTAGGTGTTCAATATAATTCATTATGGTCTTATAAGTATGTTGATATTGTCATTCCGATCCCGAATGCATGCTGATGTTGCACCTAAACACATCCTCACAGAGGTGCTGAGGACTGTAGCGTGGCTGTAGACTCTAAATCTTGTTAACGTTCCCTTTTGATAATCCTCATAAATACAGCCTTTTTCCCTCCTCAACACTTGTAAATGTGAAAATCCACCAGCTTCACACCCTGTAAGAATCCTCTTAATATGGTCTGTATTTTACAGAGTTAAGCTTTAACTTCACTTAATGGCAACTGAAGTGACCTATGGTGTGTAACATTGCTTTACCCCGTTTCACCTCAGATCCAGCAGGAGTTACAGCAGCTCGTTTCCTCCGAACTCCCCTCGAATTTGGCCCCACTTTGTCTCCTCATTACTGTTTCTCCAACCACAGCCTCTGTGCTTCCTCTGGCAGTGTACACACTATGTGTCTGTGAGTGTGTGAGACTTTCCTCATGATGCAAGCAATCTGAAATGAGACTCAATCCCCCGTATTTAAAAGCTGCAGATCTCTAGATTACGAGTGGACAAAATCTGCTCTGTCCCAAATAATCTGCCCTCAAGACAGAAAGTCATGGCTGATCTACTGCGAGAGAACAAGGGACACACTGTTTTCTTTAATTCTTCGTTCTCTTAATTTCCACTTCCCTTTCTTTTCTCTCTCCAGGTTTCAGGAGAAATGAGGAGATGAGAGCAATGGAGGTGCTTCCCATCCTCAAAGAAAAAGTTGCCTTTTTGTCAGGTGAGTGAGTGAGTGAGTGAGTGTTCCTAAGTTTCTGTCCATACACAGCTCTCAGGTAAACTGTGCAGATGTGCAGTTTATTCCTCTCTGTAGCACGCATGCACGCACTCGTGCACACAGACACATATATGGACATTACTGAAAAAGCCGTGCACTTTAAAAAAAAATACCAAAGCTCATGGGGTCACGCTGAGGCACAGGCACTTAACCCTGGACCCTTCTTCACACTCACACACATTACACATTAGACACACTGTGACGCATGAACACACACACAGACATCCATTGTTGAGTCAATATCAGCAGGACTATATAATAGAGAGCTACAGCTGCTTGTGTCTTTGCTCCCTCAGCCATGGCTCACACACACACACACACACACACACACACACACACACACACACACACACACACACACTTGAGTCGTGCCAGGGAAAACTCACAGGAGGCAGAGCTGCAGATATGGACTGCCAAGAACATCTAGCATGATTATTTGTACAACACACAAAAACATTATTCAGCTCATGCAAAATGTGTGTGTGTGTGTGTGTGTGTGTGTGTGTGTGTGTGTGTGTGTGAGAGAGAGAGTGAGTGAGAGGCAGCGTATTATCATATGTGCATGCAGAATCATTGGAAAAATGGAGCGCAGCAGTACCAAATGGAATAGCAAAGTGAAATGTGTGTTAATAAGTGTGTGTGTGTGCACTCTGTGTGTTATATGCACACTCATCTTTGGTCCCGTTATGTGCGCAGCAAAGGTCACAGGCAGAAACAAAACGATGAGGACGATGACTCAGACAAACAGACAGAAATTGAGAGAGGGAGAGGATGAGGGGAGTTGCCTTGGTGATGACTTACTGTCAGCTATACTGCATCCCATATTAGTCACTGGTGGAGTAATTGGCTTTGAAATAAAGGAGGGTGGGAGTAAGAGGAGGGACTGCTGATGAAAAACAGGGTAAATGAGCTAAGCCTATTATACCAGATCCAGCCCCTTAATAAATCGGCTATGTTCGCCCTCGCTCGTGTCTGCCTGTTTGCCACGTGAGCGTTTGATTTTCTCCATTGAGCAGCCGGGCCGAGCCTACGGGCGCACAGCAACCCAACTTAACTCACTAATTTGTGGGCTGAGCACAGTCAGCCTGTGTTTACAAGTTCCCACGTGAGCGACGTAGCTTTCTGCTACTGCAACTGGTCAGGGACTATGAGAAAAATATTGTTATTATAGTACCAGATATTCATAATTCAGTCCCATGACGATATACTGCAAATAGTAAACGTTACCCAACTACCAATTAAAATGACAAAATACTATTTAAAAGACTGGAGGCAGCCTAGGAGGCTGTTCAAGGCAGAAGTATTAAAAATGTGCACAGTAAAAAATGCTCTCAGTACGGGGTTAAGACCCACAGGAATCATTAATTCAGCTTGCATGTGTTTCAAATAAGCAAATAATTTTATAAATTGATTATATTTATCACTTTTAGCCATGGTAGCAGCATCTCAGGATGGCAGTTTTCAGAAGTTATTGTGTGCAGATGTTAGAAATGAATCTTACTGACCCTGGTAAATGTCTGCCCTTTATATAGTGCAATTAGGAGGTTAACATCTACCTGATGCACTGGTACAAATGTTTGTACAGATGTTTATGGTTCTCAGATGATGTATTCCACTGACTTTGAAGAACCCCCTGAACCTCACAGAGGCACGAGCATAGATACTTTTTTAAAAACACTCCTGTATAGATTTGTTTATGTTCTCTTCAGACATTCACATAGATCAAATATTGAAACTTTTTGATTTCAGGCTATTATCTTAGGTGGCGTAGGCGGATATATTTAACTAGAAGGGCTCACAAAGAGCGACTACCTTTGCAGAGGCCCGACATTCCCATTATGAAACCACATTTATATTCACTAGATCCTGATATTTTTGCACACACAGATAAATATCAGTCACCTAAAAATGCCTGAACCCATAAAATGTTGAAATCTCACAGTGTTAAAGAAAGTGAAAAATACATTCCTGGATGCTTCCCCGATCCAGACCCACACCAATATTTGGTGGCTTCTTTCCACTCGCATACCGTGTCATTCCACCAAGTTTCATTGTAATCTGTCCTGTAGTTATTTTTGCTAACTAACATACAAACAAACAGACGAAAACATAACCTCATTGGTGGAGGTATTAGTATCAGGATACTGTGTATTGTTGTATTTTAAATTCTTTGGATTGAATCAGGATGTTATCTATTGAACTTTTCTAAAATGTTCTTAGTTATTGTTTCTGAGCGTCTGCTTTGCAATATTAGACAGTTTGGATGTTCAGTTGAGCAAATTGTGAATCAATTCAATTATACATCTGTTGCCAAGGGTGTTTCAATTCGGCCAGCTCAGCAGCTCACATTTGTCAAGCCGAACACTCATTTATTGGATTAGCTGACTTGTTAGATTTATGCTGATTCAGTGAAGCAAATATAAACACTCAAGGTAATGTCGTAATAGCTTTTTGACATCTGCTGTTCAATAGAACACTGTATGAAACTGCTGTTCATGTGTGTGTGTGTGTGTGTGTCGCCTCAGGTGGCAGAGACAGACGCGGTGGTCCAGTGTTAACGTTTCCATCACGCAGCAACCATGACAGAATACGAACGGACGATCTGAGGAGACTGATCGCCTACCTCGCCGGCATCCCCAGGTAACACGTTCATTCATTTTGCTCTGTAATCTGTGTGTGAGTGCAATATGTGTATATGTATGTGTTTCTTGTTTTTTTGCCTCAAGAGAACGATAAGCAATGTCTTTGAATCGAAGAGAACACCCGGAGTAATTGGATGGGCTTCTGTAAGCAGACACGTGAGAGAGCTGAGAGGAGCATGTGAGGGGCCGAAGAGGACTGGAGAGAGAAATAATTCAGGAAGAGTTAGCTTGCTGCAGCTTCCTCGCTGCCAAAAATCCGTTATAGAGACATTGTGAGATGCTGAGACGGAGAGGGAAAGCCTGAGCAAAGAGAGGGATGTCTAACAGAAAGCAAATGAAGAGAGGGAAGGAGGTATCAACAGAGAGAAAGCAGTGTAGAGAGAGTGAGCGAGAGTGTAGAGGAGGAGGGGGGATTAAAGTGACAGCGACGGAGAGCGCATGTGTGAGGAGGTGTGTGTGAGCGAGGGAGCGAGCGAGCAAATGTGTGTGTGTGAAAGCAAAACAAAGTGTCGCAGTAGCTGAAGCAGTGCAGCAGCGGCAGTTAGTGTGGACGAGTAGCTCCTCACCTCACAGGTAAAAGCTCTCTCCTCTTCCACCCCTCGCTCACTACTCACTTCAATCCAGCTTCCCCTCTTCCCTCCATCCATCTTTATCCATCCATCTGCTCTCCGTCTGCTCTCATCTGCCTTTAGGTCTGTCATCACATTATGTCTGCACAGTTTAAAATGGGAGAAAATCTCTTTTTTTACTCCTTTATTTTCTCCAGGCATTAAAAACCTCACAGTCATCGTGGCACGTTTTGCATATTTTAAATCTGTTTTAACTGTGTGGATTTGGGTGACTGAAGATGTTCTATTTTGGGTAACATCTGCACACTGCTGCACACTGACTTTCTACTGACAGGTTGGTACAGAGAGAGGAAAGGGTTGGAAAGGTATTTCAAGATTCAATAGTAGGAAGCTAAAATAATATCACCAATTGTTCTTATGATGGTTGAAAATCTGTAAAATTACTAGAAGTTAAGAAAAATACAATCCAGGCTTGTGAATTAGTTTTGGTGTGAAAGATAAAAGGTACAATTTGACAGATATTTCCAAACTAATGTAAAATCTTTGTTTCTCCTCAGATCATGATAAGTATTATTTTAAATCTTACGTTATGTTATAATCAGAGCACCACAGGGAATGAGGTTGCTGATGCACCAATGTGCTGGTTTTTGTTTTTATATTGCTGTACACATTTGCGTGTCGTTTGTCGCAGGTGTCTGTGTGGGTGTGTGAGTGTGTGGAAGCGTGGGTGGCTGTGTTTGCTGCGTAGGCTTCTCACAGTATACAGTAGAAAATGCGTCATCTCACTGTTTTGATTCTCTTTCCTTTTCTCCCTCTTTTTTCTTTTTCATCTCTATCGCCATCTCTGTCGCCATCTCTGTCTCTTCTCTCCTTTCCTTTCTCTTTCCCTCCATCATCCCTCTCTCATCCTTTCCCACGCCTGTCATCTGTCTCCTCTCTCTGGATTATACTCTCTCCAATCTCTTCTCTGCCCCTCCCTCCTTCCCTCACGCCTCCCTCCCTCCTCCTCCTCTTCTCTTTAATTCCTCCCACTCTCGCTGACCTCGATCTCTATCCATTCCCAGCGAGGAGGTGTGTAAACATGGCTTCACGGTCATCGTTGATATGCGTGGCTCCAAGTGGGACAGCATCAAGCCTCTGCTGAAGATCCTGCAGGAGTCGTTTCCGTCCTGCATCCACGTCGCCCTCATCATCAAACCAGACAACTTCTGGCAGAAGCAGAGGACCAACTTTGGCAGCTCCAAGTTCGAATTTGAGGTGAGATGGGGAGATCTGTCATGTTTGTCTACAGCGCAGAGGTGCATTCATTACTGTCTCAAATTGTTTAAATGTGGCGGTTAATAGGTGACCCGCACCAAAAAGAAATAGGCAAAATGGTTGTTTAAATAGATTGGATCGACTTGTAACTTTTATCTGTGCTTGTATTAACACTTGAAACTAGCTAATACAATAATATAAGCCTGGAATCACCCAACCAACTTGTAGTGTGGAAAGGGTGTGAAACCTCTCAGTTCCTTTTTTAATTTCCAGGGGGCATTTTCAATGGTCACAGACCAGAATGCCTCTAGGCACAATTGGATAGACCTCCAACCAATCAGAACACAAAAATATAGAGTCCAGATTGTTTGATGCTGTTGCCTCTCCACATCACTGCCAGCCATGAATTGTTAATGAAAAATACTTCAACAGTGCTGCTCTGTCAGTGATTGTCAAACTCCATTTCAGATGAGTGATTGGCCCGACCCATTTCAGTTGGAAATTGGTCTGAATGAGAGAGGGACCAGAAAGAAAAAGAGTTAAAATATCAGACTAGAGGAGAATTGAAGTTTACATTTGAAGCTTCACAGTCAAATCTGCTTAATGACAGATCAAATTATTTTAGCAGGCTGTAATACGTTTTAAAGGCACATAGATTAAGATACATGTAGTGTCCCAGTGTCCCCGAGCTGCTCATTGTCAGCACATTTCATTATTTCCCTCTCCCCGCCGCTTTGGGTGCGTACATCACCAGCCAGCTGTCTACCAGAGGAGAGAATTCATAGCATGTGACCCAAAAACAGCACATAACAGATCACAAGGACACGTGTCTGTGATGTCAAGTGTTAGAACACATTTTCACAGCTAATTAAATAATATATACAGATGGCTTATTTTTATGTTCTGGTTCATAGTTAGAAACTGGCATCAAATTGTGCTGATTTAAAAAAAACACCACTTGCCTGTTAACCTGTGCGTTTTCTGCTGTTGAAGAATCCTTCGTCTGATTCCAAGCCTGTTTAGTAAACTCCTCCTAATGAGGGCTTGACAGCTATTTCCCGCCACCCTGTTTGATCTGTCGCCAAAGAACCAGAACATATTATGATAATGATCAGATTGGTTTTGTATAAGCACATGAGCTGTGATTCTGTTTCTCTGTACAAAATGTACCTTGATTTCTGTACAATATGTTTCTGCGAGCTTGCCTTTCACCGCTGACTGTGTGAATGCACTGGTGTGGAAATTGTTCTGATTGCTCACATGTCCACACACACACAAATATATGGGCCCACTGTTGCCTGATGACACCATATTGATTGTTTGATAGAAAGAATAGCCAGATGCAACGGGGGCAGGCCACAATTATCACCAGCAGCCTTGCCATGCCTCATGGACATTGATTAGATGCACTGTACTTGCATTTGTATGCGTGTCTGCCTTCATGTATCACAATCTGACCTCCTACCTATTTGTACCCTGTACTTTTATGCAGATTTTCAAAGATTGTATGAGGAGAAAGGTTTTCATTTTGTGTTGTTAGAGTAAATTTGATATAGGACTGTTGCTAGGACTGTACTTGCAGGGAATGCGTGCAGAATTTCCCCTCCCTTCTCGTTCAGTTGAGATGGAAAGAAAGGAAGCGGAGATTTGTCTGCAATGTCAATTATGATTTTTGATAAATTGTGTGGTTCTGTGGGTGAAAAACTCCACCCATGCAGCATTAACAAATACTCTTTCTCTCAGCATTCAGCACAGTAGAAATCAATTAACTTGAACAACAATGTTGAACAACGTGGTATCAGTATTTTCCCCTGGCAAAAGCCTGAACGCTTTTTTTAACCCAAGGACAACAATGTGTCTCAGCATTGTTTGGCCTACACAAAGCTAGCCAGCTATCGTTCCGTCTCCATCCATCTCTGGCCATGTGTGTGGGGGTGTTGTGCGGAGGTGGCTTAGCAGAAACACAGAGGCACTGAAACCAAACAGGGAGGCATTTCCTCACTGTTTCTCTGATGATGATATCGTAATAAGCAGTTGTTTTGCAAATAATCTGTGTTGCTAGTTTTTGGAACCAGGTTTTTTTTTCCATGTCTGATCTAAATATCAATGGCATGTCAGTAAAGAAACAAAGTGACAGGGGAGGAGGAGAGATTATTAGACTTCTGCACTCAACTGACTGAAATATATTTTTTAATATTTTGCCTCCATCCTTTCTTCCTTCAGACCACCATGGTGTCACTAGAGGGCCTCACAAAGGTCGTGGACCCCTCCCAGCTGACGGCGGACTTTGATGGCAGTCTGGACTACAACCACGAAGAGTGGATAGAGGTGAGATAGTTCATCCATGTTGTCAGTCTGGTGGGCTGCACTTCAGACTGATCTTTAATCTATCCTGAAATCTCTCCTTAACTCAGATGTTATGCTCTGTGTTCGTTCAGGTGCGTGTGGCGTTTGAGGAGTTCTCAGGTCACGCTACACAGATGCTGGCCCGACTAGAGGAGATGCAGGAAATTGTTTCAAGGAAAGACTTCCCACAAGACCTGGAGGGAGCCAGAAGGATGATAGAGGAGCACGCCACACTGAAGAAGAAAGTCATTAAAGCCCCAATAGAGGAGCTGGACACTGAGGGTCAGAGGTAAGCACACAGATTTTCTTTATTGCTGCAAGTTTGACTGACTTTAGACTTGCAAGTGTTTTCTTATCGGCTTGGTTGTATGATTCTTTCTCTGAAGCTTATCTGTTTCTTTGTCCATCATGAATTTAATAAGTCACAGAACAGTTTGAGGAAAGCAGAACACATAAATTCTACACCACAAAATAAGAGTTAAAATAAAAACAGAGCAAACAGACTAGGGTTAATAGCAGTGACCAATGAGTGTCCCAACACATTACATTGTAAATTATTTCAAAAAGTGCTTATTTATGTAGCACAAACAAAGCCGTAAACCACATTATCTTGTCTTATCTGAAGATAACAGGCATTTATAAAAGACAGCACAAAACTCAAATTGCTGTAAATGTAACATTATGAATGGATTCATTGTATTTTGCTGTATTGAAGTGAAATCTGTCTATGCTGTCAAGACAACACATTCCTCATGCAACATATTTCACCGCCACCTCCAGGTTATTGCAACGCATCCAGAGCAGCGAGTCTTTCTCCAACCGCAACGGAAGCAGTGGTGGCAGCGGCAGCAGCAGCGGGAGCAGTGGGGTCTGCAACGCAGACACCCAGGGACTGGTGCCACGAATCACTCAACTGCTGGACAAGCTGCACTCCACCCGGCAGCACCTCCACCAGGCCTGGCACGTCCGCAAGCTGCAGCTGGACCAGTGCTTTCAACTCCGCCTGTTCGAACAGGACGCAGAGAAGGTCGGTGGATGGTTGTTGGGAGCAGGGGCGTTGTTCAGTGCGAGCAGTGATGTAGCGGTAATCTATAATCACAGTTTGTGATCACTGTAGGGCAGGCAACTGCCAATAGAAACAAACTTAATTACACCCACAGAGAAGCATTGATTTCTGCTCTGTATGAATTCATGTCCATATTATGACCTTTTAAATGGTGGCTTAAACTTAAATTCATAAGTAAAACAGGAGAAAAACCTTTACCCTCCTGCACCTCTTCAGGTGGAGGATAGTGTATACAGGTACACTAAGCCACACCCCCACCCAGACCTCTTATGTGATGACAGCTGCAGCACAAAGTAGAAGAGAGAGAAATTCAGATATCCATGTTTATAAGAGTGGAATAAAATAGCAGATTGCAGCACCAGAGAGAGAGCGAGCTGCAGTCTTGGATACACTGCAGTAGTAGGAGCTTGTTGCTAGGACACCACAGGCCACGAGTTGTTCTCTAGAAGAGCCTGAGAGGATACTCCTAATAGAGGCAGTCCATTTCTCTGTATTCTGGCCTGAAAAGATGACAACTATGTGCACACTGCAGCATTACAGTCACACTCACATGTATACACACGGCTAAGTGCCAGCTGTTTGTTTTCACCTGCTCTAGCAGTGATCTGTGAAAGTTAATAGTGCTCCCGTACCTTGTGTGTGTATGTTTCCTTCTGGTTGGCTAACCTTTTATTTG